TGTTTTATTGTTGCCTCTATCATCAACTTCCTTCATGCTCACTTTGCCTCCACGCAGGATCTTTTTGATTGGTGAATGTGGATTTCTCCTTGCTTCCAGCCATTTTTCACAAAACTTAAAAAGTTATGAAGTAAAAATTTTGTTTTAAAATTCAAGTAAATTGGAAGTTTAAAAATCATGCAAATGTTAAAATTTAACCCTGAAATTTAGAAACTCAATCCACGGGAAAGTGATTATAAGCATTCAAACTTATGAGAGCATATTTAAAATTCAGTGAAAATTATTGGACCTAAGAATATAATTATGCAGTTTTCTTAGCTTTCATGCTTTTTTTGTCTTATTAAACAAGCATATCTTTACTTCTTCAAGATTGATAAACTAAATATTTTCCCAAGTGCCAAAAGGTGCCAAAATCAACTTCAATGAAGAATAGAAGATTTCAAAAGAAAAGAAGAGAAAAAAAAAACAAAAGCGGAAGAGAGGTGCAGGAGTGATAGGAAAGCATAAAAAATGTAGAATGGAATGATGCATACCAAATGCAATATCTTGCTCTTATCAATTTACCAATTTACACTTAAATTTTCTTCTTTATAAACTCAAAAACCATAAAACATAAAAGAAATCATAGAATTAAATCAGTTATATTATCCTCATGTATAAGAATGCTATAAAAGAGACCGCAATAAAGAGTAAATGTTTACACTATATACTGTGAGGACAATACAATGCCTAACAAAACATCCAGTAATAAAATTAACCAAACAAATTGTGAGCTTTAACTCGAAAAATAACAAGAATATATTAATTTGTTGAAACAACAAAAAATCTATGGATTCACATAAAAAATTAATTAAGAGTGGGAGGAGGATATCAAATCAACAAATAGAAGGAGACAGAAGTGTGCATGTTCGAACAAAACAATTGTGGTTGGCTGCCGCTATCTCAACATCAATATTGGTGTTAGTTTTGTTGTCCGGTGCAGTAGGTGGTGGTCCTAGGGTATGAGAGGGAGATTGGAGACTTGCGGGAGATGGGAGAAGGAAGTTTGCAGCTTCAAATGAAGCATGATGTGGCTGTGACGATGTCGATGGTAGAAAGATCAGACGACATTGGTGTAAATGATGTAGTTTGGTGCAGTAGGCGACGTCTGTCGATGGTAGAAAGATCAGACGACATTGGTGTAAGTGATGTAGTTTGGTGCAGTAGGCGACGTCGCCCAGCCCGTTGCGTAAGTGAGAGATGAGAGCTCGTGGGTCCAAGCATATAAACATTTAAATAATTCAATACGGGATGGATGCCTTGTGAAATCTATGGCAAAGCGTGCCTCATTGCATGCTTCAATGATGTTAAGGCTTTCTTGGAAGATCCAAGCGAGGCGTCCGACTCGATGTGGAAAAATCCACGATTGCACAGAGGAACGTCTCTAATTGCATAATTTTAGACACTAGGGTACACTTCATGATGGTCATGAAATAATTACTCTTTTATTAAAGACAGGAAGCATATTGTTTTTTTGATGTTGGAGTTAGTAGTGATGGATATTCAAACAAAAATTGGAGTTAGTGTACCTAGTCTTTCATTTCTACAGGCTATGAAAAAGGTGTCAATGAGATTGGCCTTGATAATTTTGGAGGGCAGTGAGACAGAGGATTTGATACTTGGGGCAATGCAACTTCTATTAGAGGGTTTTCATAATTTTTTGACTAATAGTATAACACTTGGATTGTCAATTCTATGAGAGAATCAACATATTATATACCTCTTAGGATCAGTCTTCTAGCCGACCTGTGTATTCGATGCGACCAACAAAGTATGAGAAGCTATTGAAAATGGTAAATCTGATGGCTCGGGGTGTGTCATACTGGTTTTGCTAATGCCCAAGAAGAATGGGTTGTGACAAATGTGCATTTATAGTAAAACATTGAACAAGGATACCATCAAATATTGATTTTTCATCCCAAGATTGACATCTGTTTGTATAAGATTCATTGAACTGGAATTTCTTCCAAGATCGATCACATAGTAGTTACCAGTAGACTAGGGCGAACAATGAGATGAGTAGAAAATAATTTTCATGACTCGAAATGGAGTTGATGAGTATCTTTATGAGGTTAATGAATCAAATTTTAAAAATATTCATAGGGAAGTTTGAGGTTGTGTATTTCGACGACATCTTGATATATAGTCATTCAAAGGAAGAGCATGCAACACCTATGTTAATTATGTGGAATTTATTTGATAGATTAGCTATATTGTTTTAACAGTTTGTATTGATATGAACTTAATGAAGGTTGAGGCTAATGTACATCAGTTACATGGATTAACATTTTTTTATAAGAGATTTATTAGGAATTTCAGCTTAATCGTGGTGTCCTTGGTAGAACTCCTCAAATAAGACTTATTCACTTTGTCGAATGAAGCATAGGCTAAATTTGAAACTTTAAAGAAACATGTTATTTAATTTATTTTCTTAGCCCTTCAAAACTTGAAACAAATGCTCGAGGTGGAATGCAATGACTCCAATGTAGGAATTGTAGCTATGTTGAGTCAAGCCTGATACTATTTTGCTTTCTTTAGTGATATATTGAACAAGTCTTGAAGATACTATTTTACTTTTGATAAAATGTTTTATGTTGTAGCGTGAGCACTCGACCACCAGAATTATTCTATGCTAGTGAATAGGTTGAATCTTTGCACTAGCCAAGTGACCCTGAAATTCTTAAAAAACAAATTAAACTCAAGGTACAAAATAACCTATCACTATTTATTGATCATTATTATGCAGTTCATCGCAGTTGATTTTGAAGTGTTAAAAAACTTGTGTTCCACTGATTAACATTTTCAGGAGAAGTGGGTTATTGTCATGAAAGATCATACAAATAGCTCCACATATGAGATAGTTTTTTGTTTTCCAGAATAAATTGTGCATCCCTCGCAATGGAGGGATGATCAAATACTTTGGTAGGGATGAAACTCTTTTTTGGTGAAAGAGAATTTCTATTGGCTAGGTTGGTACGAGATGTGAAGCAATATGATATCTAGTGCATAGTATGTCATTTCGGTAAGACTCGAGGAAAAAATATATGTCTATACGTTACCCTTTCCATTCTAGAGTCACCCTGATTGAATGAGCATATATTTTGTGGTGGGCTTATCCTGAGCAAAATAGATCAAGGATTTTGTTATGATAGTAATAGACTGCTTCTCTAAGATGACACACGTTGTTACTTGTCATAAGACAATAAAAGTATTACATATTGTAGAATTATACCTTTGGGAGAACATCCATCTTCATTATGTACTTCGAACTATCACTCCAGTCAAGGATGTGAAATCTCTCAGCAAATTTTGAAACAATTTATGGGATAAGTTGGATACAAAGCTTCAGTTGAGTTCAACACCTTAAACAATAACAAATACAAGTGATGAATCGTAATTTGGGAAACCTCATCAGATGTTTTTTGGAAAAGAACATCAAATATTTGAAATTAGTGTTTTTTAGGTTGAGTTTGCTTATAACTAGTTCACTAGTCAATCCACTATTACTTTTCATTTTAGATTGTGTAGGGACAGAACCCTCTTACTCCTTTTGGGTTAGTGCCAGTACAGTGAGATACTGACATTAGCATAGATGTTGAGGCCGAGTCAAAGAGATTTTTGACTGTACATGAGCTTGTGAGGAAGGAAATTGTCAAAGTAGAACATCAAGTATCAAAAGTAGGCTAATAAGCTAGGAATGGTATGGTCTTCAAGGAAAGTGATTTAGTATAGATCAAGGTGAAGGAGATGTTTCCTATCTGTTCATTTGGAAAACTCAAGCCTACATTTGATGGTCCATTCAAAATCACCTAGAGGATTAATGGTAAATCCTATGATATTGATCTATCGAGAGACTACAATATCTAATGTAATTGAGTTGTCGCCATACTACAAAGATCCAAACATTTTCAGAGATGAATGTGTAGTTCCTCTTACTTAGGGAGAGTGACATGTGAGGCAAGGACATCTTGATCAAAATGGATTTGCTGGAATGGGATTTCACGTTCAATGAATACTGTAGTTGGAGAATTCACACCTATTGGGTTTTGGTAGGTCATTTTGGGCCCCTATTTATCTATTTTAATTTATAATTAGGGTTTCATTTATTGTCTTTGTGTAAGTATGTTATTTTAGAACTTGTAAACACTTTTTTTTCTTTTGGTTTACGCATTAGTGGTTGTTTCCTCTAGTTTATTCTTATCGGAGTGCTTTATCTATAGTACTTTCTTAGGTGGTGTGCTTGTAGCCTGATTGAATCGGACGTCCAACAACCATCTACACAAGCAGATATGCTACAGAATTGTTGTTTCAGCATGTGGTTTGTTGTCCATCCATAGTTCTTCACCGTTCCTAAACCACCGGCATTGCCTCCTCTTTTGTTTCTCATCCTTCAAACCTACTAACCTTCCCACGCCATTTAATAACTCTAGTTCAGTGTCAATTCACTAGATGGTTTTGTTGAGCAAAGGTTCTTCTGACCGTAATTAGGGAAAACACATGTGAATGAGGCCGAACTATTAATCTTTAGAAAAAAAAAAATTGCATGAGCGCTGACATTTCATTTTGCAGTAGTGTTCAACTATCACTCCTGAAGTATGGTACATATCCCAGCTAATCATATTTGCATGCTTTATAACACAAAGAAAACGTGAAAATTTCAAGTAAAAACATAAAAGCTGATTTGTGTGAAGTTTACAATTTTGAACCCAGTATGCCTTGCCTTTCTGGATGTTTCTAGAGCCTTTTTTTTTGTTTTGCAGTATTTCTTCAATCTGGAAGATTTTTCTATCTGATTCCATTTCCCATTTTACTCTTTCGAGCAGAGTATGATTGTTTTCCTTGCTTAAAGTAATGTGATTCTAACGCAAATTAGCTTGCTTTAAGCTTGTTCTAAAATTAATACTTACTGAAATGAAAAGTACTTGATCGTGGTCGTGAGCCCATGCATTATGATTTTTTAGAGACGCTGAAGATCATATTGCTTGGCTTCTTCAACACGGCTTTCATGAAAAGGCTTTGGCTGCTGTGGAAGCGGGGCAAGGAAGGAATGAGCTGCTTGATGAGGTAAGCTGTGCTGCATGTGTTTTTTTTTACTTTTTATTATTGTAATTGGGATCCTAATGTTGTCTTATAATTGGTGTGTCAAAGATACGGATCAATTGCTTTTTCATGCATTGATTTAATGAAAATTCTATGCATAAAAGCATAGGTCCGATTTTAATTTGTTACATTCTAGTTCTTAACTGTCTACTAGATCTTGTAGTCGTGGTATTTTCTTTTTATACTTTTGTTCATATGAACTTTGAATCTCAATTGAAACCATAACAATATGTTTGACCAAGCTTTAGTAAGAATTATTGGAAGATCATTTGTACTAAACAAAGATAATGAGCTATATGGCAATCCAAGCTTTGTAAGAATTATTGCCAGGAGGGTTTTAAAATAAATGTCACTGAGATTGATCATACTTACCATGCAGAGATATTGAGCTATGTGGCAGTCTTCATGGTCGAACGGTATATGCTTTGTCCCAGATTCTCTCGAGTACCATGTTGTACTCTTTGTTTTGGGCCTTCATCCCATTTTGCTTTCCATGATAAATTTTGTAAAGCTGGTTTGTATGTACATAGATTTTCCTTACCATTATAAACTAGAACTAGCACCAATTGAAGCTCTAAATAGGACAGCATGGTGAAGGAATAGTTGAAAAAGTATAGTTGGGATATGGTTTTGATGTTGATTTCCTTCACTATTTTCTTCACTATTTCCGAAGATTCTTCGCTCTGTTCTGCTTTTATGTTGCATATGTTGTCACGTCTTCTTTATTATTTTGAAATTTGTGCTAAGTTGACTTTAAACTTTCTGCTATCCTAATTATTTTCATTTTTCGTAGGAGAGTTTTCTTACCTTTATTTAGGTTCATTTGATAACCATTATAATTTACTGTTGAAAGTATTAGGATCGTTAAATTAGGAATGAAGTAAATCATAGATTTGTTTGTTAAATAAAGGTAAATATCTTTTAATGATTTGTCCTAGAAGCCTGGAATTCTTTTGGCGGGAAAAGATGATCAGATCAAAATTTTAATACTCAACTATTATCTCTACATGACAATTGAAATAATTCTTGTTTATATTCTAAAAGTCTTATGAATCCAAAATTAATGAAAAGTCATATCAATACAAAATCTACCGTCTTTTGGTGTTGTTGTGTCCACGGTATATATTCTTTCTTATTTCACCTTTCTAACTTTAATTATTTCAATAAGTATCAATAATGAGTTATCAAAAACATAGTTGCATTTTCTTAGTTCGAAATAACATAAATCAATAAAGAAAAATATCATTTATGCTAGTTGTTAGTTATGCTATGAAAGATATGACCATATGGTGAACATGTGAATAATAAATTTGCCCATAAATCGAGTTAAATGTCTAAAACAAGATCAAATGGTGGGATTTTAAACTTGAGAAGCATAAAACTAAGTTGAATGTTGCTTTATGCGACAGAATATTGGCCTATACAAAACAAGCATAAAACTAAGTTGAATGTTGCTAAGATGAGAATGCTTAGGCGGATGAGGGGTTGACTCTTAGAGACAAAATGCGAAAGGAATAATATCCATGAAATGTTTGATGTAGCTTCAGTGGCAGACAAGATTAAAAGAGAATCATCTTAGATGGTTTGATCACATTAAATGTCGATCATCTGATGATCCGATTAGGAGAGATGTTTTAGACTCGACTTATCTTAAGAAAGATAGAGGTAGATCTAAAAAGACATTGGGCATGCTGTAGAAAAAATAAACTTAATTTATTATTATTAAATGGCACTCAATAGGACACAATGGAGAAGAAGAATTCATCTAGCCGACCCCACTTAGTGGGATGAAGGCTTGTTGTTGTATATGCTCAGTATCATAATATTTTGCTTGTCTATCTTTCATAATCCTTAGTTTATTTTTGATCAACTGAATCTTCTCAATAACATTTTCTACTAACTCTGCACCACAGAATACAAAAATAGTAATACTTTAAATTTCTTCTCCAAAATCTTTGTAATGCCAAATTAGGGTTTAAAGTCGCTCTCACGTCGAGGAGTTTGAGAAGTTTGACCCTTGCTTGAACTCTTGTGATCACCTAATTGGATTGGTCTTTTTACTCCCTTAGTGTTGCATGTAGCCATCTCACTCTTACCACACATGCCTTTGCTCGCATGCTAGCTGCAAGCTTGGCCACATGAGCATGCTAACCCCCTTGGTTGCCTCCAAAACTATGGATTTTGGCACCTCATACAATCATATAATGTCATGAATATTTAACTCTGCTAATCTCTTAACATGATCTATCTGCTTGATTTGCAAGTAATGGGTAGACTTAATTATTTTATCTTTGATGACCCAAATAGCATCACATTTTTGTTTTTGTTTAGGCAAACTAACTATAAAATCGATTGTTATCTCCAATTTTTACTGTGGCATTGACAACAATTATATATGTCCACCGGGTTTTTGATCTTCTACTTTCGATACATGACATATAAATCATTTGACCATAATTTTTATAATAATTCTTTTCAATCCGGTTACCAAGCTAAATTCTTGACCTCCTTATGTTATGTATTGCTTTCTAGATGAATAATATAGCCAGACATATAAGCATCTTCTAAAATTTTCTTTTTCAAATTATCAACATCCAAAACGTTGATCCTACCATTGCATTCTAACAATTCATTGTCATCAATTTTGTTTTCATCTATACTGTCTGACTGGACTTGATTTAAGATTTTCTGAATAATAACTTTTCTGGCTTGTGAATCTTTGTTTATGTTTTTTAAAGTAGATTGAACTGTCAACTAATTTTAATGAAGAATTTTCTCATAATTGTAATCAATTACTGACTGCTTTCGTCTTTTAATATTCTTGAGTAAACCCTCTTGTTGAGTATACTAAAAATTTTAATTACCTGAAATCTTCCTGCTCAACATATCTGCAATAACATTTGTCATTATCGAATGATATTGTGTATTGAAATCTTAGTATTTGATAAATTTCAATCATTGCCTCTATCTCAAATTCAATTCTTTCTTAGCTAATATATATTTTATAATCTAGTAATCAATAAATATTTCAAATCTAACTTCATATAAGTAATGCCTCTAAAATTTAATTACGAACACAACTATTGCTAGCTCCAAGTCGTGCATGTACTATTTTCTTTCATGGTTTATTTTCTGGAAACATTAGTAATTACTTTTTATGCTACATAAGAATACATCTCAATCTTTTTAATGATACATTACTATAAAGTTAAAATTCATCTGATATTGAGGAAATAGTCAACAATAGAGCAGCTATTAAACAAATTTTTATGCTTTTGGAATGTCTCCCTATGATGATCAATCCATTCAAATTTTATTATCTTACCTTATGTATCAGTCTGTATAATGAAATCAATCTTTGAAACAAATTTAATAATCTCCTCCAATAGCCAATAAAGACCTAAAAAAATCTCGACTTTTGTAATAGCATTTGTTCTTGGTCAATCTATAACTATCTTGATTTAATTTATATGCCTAAAAAATTTACACTTTTTAACCTGAATTCACATTTTAATAAATTTTCACATAATTTATTATTCTTCAAAACATATAAAACTGCATGAAGATGAATTGAATGACTATTTTATCCTTTGAATGAACCAAAATATTATCTATAAATACTATCATAAATATATTAAAAAATTGCTTGTAGATTTTCTTCATTAAACCTGTAAACGTTGCTCGAGCCTTAATGAATCAGAATGACATTACACCATATTCTTAATGCTCATATCTAACTTTGAATGTTGCATTTACTTTGCATCTGTTTTAATCCTCAACTGATGACAACTCATTTTTAGATCTATTTTTTAAAATGTAGGAGCCCCCTCCAATTGATCAAAAATATCATTAATCTCTGCCAGTGGATATTTTATTCTAATAATGAGCTTATATAGTTATCTATGATCAACACACAACTTGAAACACATCTAGTATTTATAAATAATACTTGTGCCAAGATAATGTGTTAGGCTTCATAAATTTCTTTTTTAATAGTTTCTGCAATTGACACTCCAACTCGTACAATTCTTGAACTGTAATTCTAGACGGTGCATTTGATGCTAGCTTAGAACTTGACAATAATTCAAAAGTGCAATCTATATCTCTTACTAACAAAGATATACAAAATATCTTTGGTTCAAATAAGGTTTTCTTAATGAAGGGGTTATTCAACATGAAGATGATGGAACACTGGACTTATAAATTCCTTATTTAATAGTTCTCGCAATTGACACTTCAACTTTTACAATTCTTTTACTGGCCTTCTATATGGAGCTTTAGATACTCACTTAGAACTTGACAATAATTCAAAAGTGAAATCTATAGCTCTCACTGGTGGTAGCTGAAATGAATCATCAAAAAAACTTATGGATATTCCCTAACTATTAGAGTATTATTTAGCTATTCCACTTTCTTAGTTGTGTCTTTCACCTAAGAAAAAAAATCTGGTTGTCAATATTTAATAACTTGAAAGCCTTCAAACATGGTATTACTATTTCTCATAGGTATCAACTCTCTTTTCCACCTTCTTATTACACTCTATGATCGTTACAGAGTTAGATCATCAATTCATACTTAAAATTGCATCAAATTCAACCAATGACAATGCAATCAACTGTCATAACATCACTCTCGCATACATTTGATTAATCTCTATAGAACTTTCATTTTATATTTTAACAGATAAAATTTTTGGCATTATTATAGTATTTAAACTCATTGGTCCAACTAAATCTTTTGTATTAAATGAACGGGATGCCTTGATATCAAATACGATTTGAATTAGTCTATTTTGGACGGATATAAGATCTATATTAAGATAAAAATATATTGAACACTAAAAACAAATTATTTAACATATAATTGAGTCTATGATCTTATGAATGAAAAGTATTTAGATGCAAATAAAATTTGACGAATTAAAATTTTTTGAATATAAAATATATGTGATAATCTCAGTTGACTCAGTAGCTTCTTGTTGGGATAATGCGTATCCTTTTGATTGAACATTCTGTTGGGTTTGACCTTGATTTGATATAGATATTGTGGACTCGACTATCGTTTATTTGCCAAAACTCATTTGAGATGGTGCAACATTGATCCTAGTTTCTATTGGAATCATCCTAAAGTTGGGCAATTCCTTAGTGTGTTCTGACTGGTGATTCTAGAAACAAGTGTTTGACCCAATAGACACCCACCCTTATGAAACTTTTCACACTTCTTAGCATTGCCATGATTGCCAAAGCTGTTGGATCTTACTTTTTTAAGAATTGAATTCCCACTTTGATGTGATTTCTTAATCTCAGAGCTCTATAGAAGCCTGAGTTCCTCTTAACTCTATCTTCTAATAAACTCTTCTCCTCGAAGTAGCTTGAACAATCACCTAGTGTGGAATAATCATCAATTTGAAAAGGAATTAATGGTTGTTTAAGTCTATCCTTAAGTTAAAATAAGAAAATGTGACATTTGGGATAAGCTTCGGTGCATATCTCGAGAGCATAATAAACCCAACTTTATATTGTATAATTTAATGATCACCCTGAAGCAGTCTAATAAACTTTTCATACATTTGTTATTTAGATAAAAGTGGTACAAATCAATATCTAAATATTCCTCATTCCTCCCGCTATACTAAATGGCTAGATCAACCACCAAATTTCTCCTATAATTGTCATTGCTATCATCTCTTTGCTTCCCTTGTAAAAGGAAAAAGTAGTTATGTTAATTTTTCTTTCCTATTGGTATGACATATCTTCTATAATCTTCTCTTCCTGTATCAATGAGTTTTCAACATCCACCGACCTTTCTGTTTCAGAAGATAGAGATGGTCTCCTATCATAAAATGATTTTAAGTTTTTATTCATCTGTTCTCCCCCACTACTATTGGCTTAAGGTTGAAAAGTAATAAATAAAATGGGTCACCACACTCATTACTTCAGAAAATGTATCAGTATCAACTATATATTCTGTGACATTAGTTCTTTTATTATCCTTTGTGACTTCTCATGATTATTCATAATTCTGAAATAAAAGTAATCTAATATAATCAAACAAACATTCAATTTATATTATTTATAAATTTATTCAATCAACCTGATAGCTCTTTTTAAGAATTAAAACCTAATTCTCTCTGATATCTTTTTTATCATGACCAGACTCGAGTTTAAAATACTAAAATGGTAATGGACAGTTGGATTGCAATAACATATTTAACAATCATAGTAGTCTAGAACAACAATCATCCAAACAGAAAAGATACTAGACAATAAAAGTATCCAGAACATCTAAATCAACATAAAAGCATCCAAAATGCAAGAATATTAATGAAATGAAAGCAAACATAAAAAACAATATCTAACACCTAATTTCACTTGAATTTCTTCTGCGATAGATATACTCACTCTCTCTCTCTCTCTCTCTCTCTCTCTCTCTCTCTCTGCTTCTTTAATTGCTTCGCATTCAAAAACGACGTTTGTCTTCTAATGTTGAAACTTTCAAGATGGTTTCGTTCAAACCATTGCCCTTGTTATGAAGTTCCTCTTTTTTTTTTGTTATTGCACACATACATTTATAGTTAAAATAGATTGGATACATACACGCCTCTGACACTACATAAAAGTATATAATTTATGTTAAAGAAATGAGCATGTATGTCCTAAAGTAATGAATTAAAGTTTCTAAAAAAAATTAAACATGTATATTTTTATGATAAAAATATTTAAGTAATCATTCTTTTTTATTTAAAAATGAAACTTATCTTTATGTTATACATGAGAGTTAGTATTTATTTGTTCTATTTCATAAATTAAATAATATCTATGTTTCTCTTATCATTCGAAAATTAATGATATTAAGTTTCTTATAATCCCTTTTTTTTGTTTTTAATATTAATTTTGTTTGAATTTTTATTTATATTTTATAATGTATACGAGAAATATTTACATACATACCAATCAATTCTTTTGTATTTATATATCTAACAGTTAAAGTGTAATTTTTAAATATATGTCACCTTACCTATGCATAGAAATATGTATTTCACATTTCAAAAGTTAAAATAGTTGTATTTTAGTTGTGATATGAATGATTTTGGTAGTATAAATATAAAAACTATGTTTGGGTGTTAGATGTGTAAATACGTAAGAATTGGGTGTTATGCATGTAAATGCCTATTTATATTATAATGTCATATTCGATTCGTGGTTGTATCTTAAATTTTCATTAGTTGAAGTGTTATGTACCTGTGTCATGTATTGTTTGTGTCTCCGTTTCTGTATTCATACATCATAGGCCACCAACATTGCCCACAATAAAGTACAATATGATTGAACTAAATATGTTGAGGTGGATATATATTTGATAAATAAAAACTGATTGTTTGTTAATTTTTACTTATTATGTTCTAACGAGAAATCAATATGCTACCATATTTACCAAAAAAAATTTGCTAGCTGTATTCAAAATTATCTTAAGAAATATTGAATGGTAGATTTATATCATCCAATTTGAGAGTGTATTGTAAATATTAGGATTGTTAAACATGAAATGAAAAAGGCCATAGATTAACATGCTAAATAAGGAAAAATATGTACCATGGATTAACGTATTTAACATTGAAATAAGAGTGCCACAGATGCTCCTTGTTACCATCTAAAATACAAAGTTTTGGGTAGCAAATCCAATTTTATTTTGGTAATTAGTATTTTTTTTTAATTTTTTAGATTGTTTTAAATATTTTGCCACTATTTAACATATGACAAAAGCTGTACTTGGAAAATCAAATAGAAATGTTTTATAATTAAAAATAATTGGTGGTAGAATAATAATGTGTTAAAAAGATAAAATATAAAAAATTATGTTATAAAATTGGTTTAAATGTAAAAGCTTAGAGAATTGAGAAAAATATAAGGTGGCTCAGGAAGAATCTAAGAGAATAATTTGTGATGCTAAAAATTTTGTTTTTAGTGATCTTTATAATAAATTAGATACTAAAGATGATAAAAAAATATATGTATAAACTAGCCAAACAAAGAGAAAAAAAATTTAATTCAAGTAAAGTGTATTAAAGATGAAAATAAAAAATGTTTTTCTTAGAGAAATATATTCAACATAGGTGAGTGAGCTTTTTTGATAAACTTTTCAATTAATTTTCTGAAAATACGATCGATCTTAGTGATCTTAAGTCATTAATAATAATAAAACATTTTATTTTTACATCACATTAGTAAAATAAAAGTTGAGAAGGGTTTAAAGAAAAACAAGGTTGGAAGATCAGTAGGACACGATGATATCCCAATTGAAGTGTGAAAATATTTAGGAGATTTGAGAGTTTCTTAGCTCACTAAACTTTTTAATATTATTTTAAGAACTAAACTGATGCCTGAGGAGTGGAAGAGAGTATTTTGGTCTCTATTTTTAAGAATGATGGGATGCACAAGAGTGTACAAATTATAGAAGAATTAAGCTGGTGTGTCATACTTTAAAATTATGGGAGAGATTAATTGAACCCAGGTTAAGAAGTGATACAAAGATTTCTTATAATCAGTTTGGATTTATGCCAAGTAGGTCTATTATGGAAGCTATACATTTATTGAGAGGTTTGATGAGAAGTACAAAGAGGAAAAGGCAGATCTATATATAATTTTGATTGACAAAGAAAAAACTTATGATAAGGTTTCAAGAGAAGACCTTTGTAGAGTTTTAGAGAAGAATGATGTTGATATGACTTATATTAAAGTCATTAAATGTTTGTATACTAGGGCTCTTACTTGTGATAGAAGGAGGTTTGACCAAGTGTTTTCTTATGTCAGCAGGATTACATCAGGGACCGGCTTTAAGCCCATATCGTTTTGCTTTAGTTATGGATGCTCTTCATTTATAGAAGGATGTACATTGGTGTATGCTTTTCGCTATAGGATGCATGTTATTGACTTGTTAACCTTTAGTTATCCTCCTTTGCAGATGCATTTTACATGAAAAGATATGTTTTTGTGTCTCAGTCACTAGACATTGCTTTGACTGATATAATGATATTACAGTTTATGCTACCCAAGCTTTTAACATCTTAACTTCTTTATGCAACTCTAGGTGGGATCCAGATATCTTGACCATCTGATTGTCGAAAGAAAATATGCTGAAGCAGCATCCTTGTGTCCTAAATTGCTTCGTGGTTCAGCCTCAGCATGGGAGAGGTTGAAATTGACTAATAAATTATGGTTTGTATCTGTTATTCTTTATTGTGACGAGACTTGTTATTTGTATGATAGATGGGTTTTTCACTTCGCTCATCTGCGGCAGCTTCCTGTTTTGGTTAGTTACATGCCTACAGAAAATCCCCAACTAAGTGATACTGCTTATGAGGTATGTCCTATGGATTATACTCTGTAACTTTGCCATTGTATACTACGCTTCTTAAGACTAGCAAAGCCTCCTAAATGATTGCCTATAATATATTTTTTACAGGTTGCACTTGTTGCATTAGCAACTAATCCTTCTTTCCATAATGTCTTACTGGCAACTGTTCGGTCATGGCCGCCTACCATATATTCCTCGTTGCCTATTATTTCTGCAATTGAATCGCAGCTTAGTACTTACTCTACAACCAACTTATTAAAAGAGGTATTGCCTGCAGTTTTCTTTTCTTAAATGTTTTTTGTTTTTTTTCTTTTTTTCTCCGTCACTAAACCGTAGTATTGCAGGCATTAGCTGAATTATATGTTATCAACTGTCAATATGAGAAGGCTCTTGCTTTATATGCTGATGTAATTTCTTCTTTTGTATTTAATGTTCACACAATTCGAATCAGGAGAATAATATTTACTGCTAAGTTTAAAATAAATTTTCTTTTTCTTTTTCAGTTATTGAAACCGGAGATATTTGATTTCATTGAGAAAAATAATCTACATGATGCAATTCATGGAATGGTATGCTTCTATTGCTTTTACAAGATGAATGCACCAATTATTTTTGATATATCTGCAACATTGATAACGAGTCAATCTTAAAAGTTAAGTATTTTCTTATTTTGCTTAATCTCAAGAATTAACTATGTTTAGCAAGCCACCTTACTTACAAACCTATTTGTGCTTAGAAGGGAAATCCGCAAAGCAATTTTGGACTCGAAATTTTGCAGCATATACTGACTTTTTTATTATGCTAGAAGCTAAATGGGGGTCCGCGATCCAAAATGAATGCCTCACTAATTGATAGCGTGTTAAGAACTGGTAAATTGCGAGGCTGAATGCTTGAGCTTGTAGATTGAGAACCAAGAGTTAACTCAATATTCTAGTAGGAACCGGTCTTTTTATATGGCAGAATACTTCTTTCCTATGAATGATAATGCAATTACTCCATGATAGATCTATTTACTGGTTTAACTAGGATGGCCTTTGAAGACTTTATCAACGGCATGATGCGTAGTAAGGAAACAGTCATGTTTTATTTATGTCTGAATAAAATGGTTGTCCAACATTATGGGAAATTGTTTATTACTTTTTATTCCCTTAAATTTTTACATACGATCAAAATTGCCACGCTTTTCTTCCTCTTCCTCTTATCAAATCCTGATATCATAAAATTAAAATACAAGACCGAGCATGGACAATGTTTTTGACTGTAAATGTTAGTTTTGATAGCTTCATAGTATTAATTGATGAAACTATGTCAGAAAATGTATTTTGAATGAACTGATTTGTATTTGCTTAATTATAGTTATACTAAGTTTAAATATCCTACTTTCTTAAACTTTATACATACATTTGATTGGGAATATACTTGAAGATATAACTTCTAGGGTTAAATCTTAGTACTTAAAGTGGAAAAGTCTATCATTTGTATGATGCAATAAGAGATTATCATTAAAATTTACTATTTTAGAATAAAAATTAGGCTCCCTATGATGTATGGATTTGAGTATTTTATATATAACCAACGTTCTCAAAATTATTATGTAAGCATACAATGGTAGGTTAGAATAGTAGAAAGAGTTGTTGGAATACTTTTTATGAGGAACCCTAATGAATCAGTATTCAAAGTAAATTTATGTCAATTGAGTTTTCTAACTTATTTGACATGAATTCTTGTGATCATTGTGCAAGTGCTAGAGCGTCCTTGAAAGCGACGCACTGTATGGTCTGAGTACAGTGAAGTATGCAAGGACCGTCACATCGACGTTCGAATGTAGTATCAAATAAGCAAGAGTCCCCACATTACGGATGAATGCAGGTAAATAAGTTATATATAAGAACTCTCTTTGGCAAATTAATGGAATTAATTGATATTATGATTTTTAAAAAGATAAATATCTTATCTATTCAAGAAACTATATGGGTTGGAGAAAAGGCTAAAGAGATTAATAATTTAGGTTTTAATCATAGGTATTCAGGTAAGAGTCGCACTTTAAATGGTATAGTTGTAATTATAGCTAAGTGTTTAAAAGATAATGTTGTAAAAATTAATAGAATTGGAGATGGAATTATATCCCTTAAGATTATTGTTGATACTAGAAAATTAATAGAGTTAGAGATAGAATTATATCCCTTAAGATTATTGTTGATACTAGAACTTTTTTAATATTATAAGTACTTATGCTCCTCAAGTAGGTTTAGAAATAGGTTCTAAAGATAAATTCTGGAATGAATTAGAAGACTTAATACAATATAAATGATGCCTCTTGAAGAAAGAATTTTTATTGGAGGTGATTTAAATGGACATATCGGTAGTGGTCGAATATTTTAGAAATATACATGGTGGCTACAGTTTTGGAGTGATTAGTGAAGAAGTTACAACTATATTGGATTTTGCTTTATCGTATGATTTTGTTATTGCTATTACTTTATTCAAGAAAAGTGATGAGTATACTATTACTCATAAGAATGGATCTAATAAAACACAAATTGATTATTTTCTTATGAGAAGAAGAGATCGTCGAAAATGTAAAGATTGCAAGGTCTTTCCAAGTAAAGATTTAAGTACTCAAGAGTGATTATTAGTTCTAGATTTTAAGATAAAGAGTTGTAAAATAAAGAATAGGAATCATCGTCATAGAATTAGATAGGGGTACCTAAAAGACACAAATAAAATTATTTTTACGAGTAAAATTCAAGATTTCAAAATTTAGGATGATCATGAAGAAACAAATTCTATATGGGATAAAGTAACAATCTCTATTAAACAAGTGACAAAAGTTGTACTTGAAGAATCAAATGAAAATATTTATATAAATAAAAATAGTTGTTGGTTGAATAATAATGTACAAGAAAAGATAAAATATAAGAAGTTATGTTATAAAAATTTGTTTAAATGTAAAAGCTTGGAAAACTGAAAAAATTGTCAAACGGTCCGCGTGACCCTAAAAGTGTTGCTTTTAGTGACTTGTATAATATATGAGATACTAAGGAGGGTGAAAAATATATATATAAACTGGCTGATAAAGAGAAAAGAAAAGTAAAGATTTAACTTGAGCAAAGTGAATTAAAGATGAAATTGAAAAAGTGCTTTTCATATAAAAGAATATTCAAACTAGGTGGGTGAGTTGTTTTGATATATTTTTTAATGAAGTTTCGAAAATTAAGATCGACCTTAGTGATCTTAATATCATGAATAATAATAAAATATTCATTCTTATCATTGCATTGATAAAAAAGAAGTTGAGGAGGCTTTAAAGAAAACCAAGGGTGGAAAGTCTGTAAGATCGGATAATATCCCAATCAACTTGTGGATATATTTAGAAGATTTGAGAGTTTCTTGGCCTACTAAACTCTTTAATATTATTTTAAAAACTAAAAAGATGCCTGAGAAGTGGAGGAAGAGTATTTTTGTCCCCATTTCTAAGAATAAAGGGGATACACAATAGCTTGCAAGTTATAGAAGAATTAAGTTGATCTTATACTTTGAAATTATGGGAGAGGGTAACTGAACATAGGTTTAGATATATTACAAAGATTTCTCATAATCAATTTGGATTTATGCCGGGGTGGTCTACTATGGAAGCTATACATTTATTGAGAGGTTTGATGGAGAAGTGCAGAGATAATAAGGAGGATCTACATATGATTTTTATTGATTTAGAAAAAGCTTACGATAAGGTTCCAAGGGATATCCTTTGGAGAGTTTTTGAGATGAATGGTGTTGATATGACTTAAATTCTAGTCATTAAAGATATGTATACAAGAGCTGTTACTTGTGTTCGAATAGAAGGATGGTTGACCAAATATTATCCTATTTATGTTGGTTTAGTTCAGGGATCGGCTTTAATCCCTTATATTTTTTGCTTTAGTTATGGATGGTCTTATTGGACACTTACTGGAGGATGTACCTTGGTGTATGCTTTTTGTTGATGATATCCTTCTTGTGGATAAGAGGAGAGAATAAGCTTAGGAGAAACTTGAATTATGGAGGTCTACTTTGGAGTCTAAATGCCTTCGTTTGAGTAGCACTAAAACTGAATACTTGAAATGTAATTTTTGTAGTGGTAGCACTAGTGACAAAAAATGAAACTATGGGTGATCAAATTATTAGAATGTGTGAACGCTTTAGATATCTCGAGTCTATTTTTCAATGTGATGGTGATATTGATGGGGTTGTTATTAGTAGAATTCAAGTTGGTTGGTTCAATGGAGGAATGCTTCGGGGGTATTGTGTGATAGAAAAGTACCGCTTTGACTGAAATGAAAATTTTATAAGATGGTGGTGAGACCTGCAATACTCTATGATGTTGAATGTTGACCTTTAAAAGAGAAGCATAAAACAAAGTTAAGTGTTGTTAAGATGAGACTGCTTAGGCGGATGCGTGGCTTGACACTTAGAGATAGAGACAAAATGTGAAATGAATATATGTGTGATAAGGTTGGTGTAGCTCCAGTGGCGGACAAGATTAGATAGAGTGGTGATAAGGTTTGGAGCACCTTTAAGAGGGCTAAGAAAAGTTTCCAGGCCTTAGTGGAGTTAGTCGGCAAGTAAACTTAAGGATATAAGCACAAATAATTTTTGTAAACAACCCAAAACATAAGAAATATGTCTAGAAATTTCTTGTAGAGTTTCATAATTTTTGAAACGATATTTATTTTGGATTGCAGCTAGAAACTTTGGTCTTGTGGAAATCTTTTCCGGCCAATAGCACAAATGGAAATATTGCTTTGGAAGTGGAGTAATATACATGGGTTTGGGTTTAAACACCTGAAATTAATGATGTAGTTTGAGATGAGGAATTTTATGAAGTTTCAATGCGATTTGGTTTCACATGCTGACAGAATCGCTATATCATTTACGCAAAATCTAGGATTGCTTAGATGGGAGTAGAAACTGCAGTATTGCAGATCCTAGTTTGCCTAAGTTGCAAGTGGTGTAAAAGAAAAAAATATAATTAAAATAAAAATAAAAATAAAGAAAAGAAAATGTCAGAAGAAATGTGGTCATCTGATCCTTGCATCTCCTTGTTGTTAGTGTTCATGGTTTGATCCTGGTTGTAAATGCCTTGAAAATCACTACATCACATGTTTCAGAAGCCACAATCAGTTATGTACGAAGGAAAAAAAGAGAAGATGATGGCAGTAATCAATTGCAAATGAGATAATTGAATACATTGACACCATGAAGGGCTTTGCATCCATCTATGGAGGAGTGTTTTATTTGAGCAGAAATCATGACTTGTCATATTGAAAAAAGTTGATGAGTTCTCTTATGATTAACTTGTTCTGAAATATTGTTCGTCCGACTTCTTAGCTTTTGGCTACCCAGCTTTCTGTCTTTGTAATCTCTTAATGACGTCATTCAGTTCTCTTCCCCATGGCATTGAGAAGTTGAACCATACAGAAGGTAAAAACAAATTACATCAGACCATGTTGCAATTAAAAACAGCAGTAGCGGACTTAGAAATCATTCTTCAAATTATGATTGCACAAGACACTAAGGTCACTAAGGTCAA